TGATTAATGACACATTAATACAATGGCTAATGATGCATTAATACAATGATTATTGACATAATAATACAATGATTAATGACACATTAATGCAATGATTAATGGCAAATTAATACAATGATTCATTAATACAATGATTAATATCATCATAATATGATTATTAACCCAGTAGTACAATCATTATTGACATATTAATATTACAAAGATTAACAACAAATTAATACAATGAGTAATGATAGTAAGTAATGATGCATTAATACAATGATTCAGGACACATTAATGCAATGTTTAATGATGCAATAACACAATTAATAGCAAAATAATACAGTGATTAATGATCCAAATATATGATTAATAACACAAAGATACAGTAATAGATGGGACAAGAATACAATTAAAAACACAATAATACAACAAATTATGACACAATATTATGATTTATGACACAATAATACAATAAACCATAACACAATAATACAATGATTAAGGACACACTAATACCATGTAAAATAATATAATGCAATGAACAATAATACAATAATGCAGTGACTAATAACTCAAAAACACAAATTACCACAATAATACAATAATTATTGACTCAAGGGCACGATGATTATTGACAATAAAATAATAATAAATAACATGATAATACAATGATGAATGACATGATGCCATAATTAATATTGCACAGTTACAATGATTAATGACAAGATAACATGATTACTTCCAAAATAATACAGTGATTAATGATATAATAATGTGATTAATAACAGGATAATACAAAGAATAAAGACACAACAACAAAAAATTTAAAAACATATTAACATGATTAATAATATGATAAAATAATGTGTAATCATGTGATAATACAATTAATATCACGATAATACCACAACTAATGACATGATCATACATTTAATAACACAATGATACAACAAATAATAAAATGATAATACAATGGCCAATTATTTATAAAAGTGTAAACATTATTTATCAGAAGCTGCTTCTAAAAATCAAGTGTCTGTTGGACCAAATATATCATTAGCATTCAGAACATGACTGTTGGTACATGAAATATAATAATCAGTGATTTATTGTCATCCAATCAGGTATTTGTCCATACATCAATTCATTATCTTTTCCCACTTCTTCCTTTTCGGGTCACGGGGGTCACTGGTGTCCATGTCCAGCCATCACTGTGCAAGAGGCGGGGGACACCTGGACAGGTCTCCAGTCCACCACAGGGCCACAAAGAGACAAATTAGTCAACAACCATTCACTCTCTCACTCACACCTATGGACATTAGAGTTACCAATCAGCCAAACATGCATATTTTTGGTCTGTGGGAGGAAACCACAGACAGGGTTTACACCAAGTTAATGCCAAGGTTTGAAACAAATGTGACCCAGTGTGCAGTGCTC